GATTAAGATGTGTGCATGGAAAGGGAGCTGCTGTCCCGGTCTCCAGCACTCAGTGGGGCAGGAGATGAGGATTCACAGAGTTGGGAGATGGTGCTCGGTGACATCCTGCGCATTTCTGGCCGAGTTCTTGTGTGGGGACAGGGGGAATGCCGGCCAGGAATGCGGGGTCTGGTCCTGGCAGGGCAGCAAGGCTCAGGACCTGTGCTCCACAGGGCTGTTTTTGGGGAGGGACTCTCTGAGATTCTGGGGCTGTCTCTCCACACCCTCAGCCGTGCAGGGCTCCCCGGGAATCCGGCCAGAGGCGCGGGGCTGGCGCTGGATGGCAGCGCGGCACCACGGGCCGTCTGTCCATCTGTCCATCCCTCCGGGCTCGGCGCCGTCCATCTGTCCATCCGGGCTCTGCTCCGTCCGTCTGTCCACTCCCGGGGGATTTACCCGGCGCTCGCAGCCGCCGGCGCGGGGTGGGTTCGACTGCGGGCACCGTGACGATGCCGAGCGCGGCCACGGAGCCGCCCGCACCGGAGGGCAGCGGGGTCGCAGCCGGGGGCTGTCCCGGGGGGTGCTGAGCCGCTGAGAACCCCCCCTCCCCTCCCCGAGAGCGGCAGCATCACATCCGCGCCATCCTCATCCCCATCCTCATCCGCACATCGCCCGGCTCGGTGCGGCGCCCGGCGGTGCGGCCCCTCCGCGGTGATGTCATGAGCCGCCGGGGCGGTGGTTGGAGCCACCGGCGGAGCGGGGACGAGTGGCCGCGGCCGGGGGGGGCTGCCCTGGACCCCCTGAGCCCCCGCTGAGCCCCCGCTGAACCCCCGCCGAGCCCCGGGCAGGACGTGGCGAGCGGCCGGCGGTGGCCGCGGCCATTTGCCGTGTCCGGCCGCGCTGACTGACCCGCTGCTCCGTCTCCTCCTGCTCCGGCCGTCCCTGCGCGACGATGAGGCAGGCCCCGGCCACACGCAAGGTACGGTCCGCGCCCGCATCCCCGGCATCGCATCCCCGGCATTGCATCCCTGCTTCCCACCGCCTCCTCCCTCTTTTCCCCGTTTTCCCCGTGTTGGTGCTGCCGGGCTGTAATTGGGAGCGTGACGGGCTCRGGGAGGGGGGGCGGTGGGTGAGAGCATCGGTTTATGGCTGGCTTTGCCTTCCGCGCTCTCGGAGTCCCCTCTCCGTGTCACCCGGCCGTGCCCGCGGCGAATGCAGCGGCTTTGCGGCTCCGCCGGGCCCTGTCCCCGCTGCCGGTGCCATCCCTGCTCCGGGGATGCTGATGCCATCCCTGTCCCCGGCTGCCAATGCCATCCCCGCTGCCTGGGGGTGTCAGTGCTGTCCCTGCTGCCCGTGTGATCCCACTGCTGGTGCCGTTCCCACTCCAGGAGTGATGGTGCTATCCCTGCTGCTGTCCCTGTCCCCAGTGCTGATGCCAGCCCCACTCCGGGGTGACGATGCCATCCCTGCTGCTGTCCCTGTTCCTGTCCCCAGTGCTGGTGCCATCCCCACTGCTTGGGAGTGTCAGTGCTCTTCCCGCTGCCGGTGGCATCCCCACTTCCAATGCCACCAGTGCCCACTCTGGGAAAGCTGCACGTCCACAATCCCGGTTTTCCTGCTGGCCACGCTGTTGGGATCAGCCTTTGGCATTCCCAGAGGCTGGCGGTACCCGGGTCCCTGCCAGGCTGCCATTCCTGCAGGTGACAGYGCGGGCACTGGCCTATATGTTTATTTTTAGCATAACCAGGATGTCACCGCTCGGCTTAAAGAGAAATCCTGGGAATTCGTGGCTGATCTCAGGGAATAGACCCGAGCCGGGCTGGTTGTGCCAGTACCTGGCAGTAAATGCTCCTGATTTACACTTGCACCTCAGCCACCAACGCTCCTCRTCACGTGTCCCTGTTAATCCTCTTCCCAATGGAAAGTTTCACGGATGCTGCTTTCCCTCTGCCTCTTTGGAGGGGGAGCAGGAGCCACCCACTGGTTCTCAGCCCCACACCTGGATTCCATCCTGCTTTTCCTGTTGCTCCTCTCCTTGCCCGTGGAATCGCCCCTGCGAGACTGGGCACCTGCCAGGTGGCACTGGGTGTTTAAAATGCAGAATTCCTGGCACTATCCCAGGGAACCACACCTTGAGGGACTCATCCTGCTGCCAGGGGAGCAGGGCCCTTCCAAGGGGCCAAATTCCCAGGAATTGAGTGGGATGGCATCAGCATGGACCAGCAGTGGGTCAGTGCCTGGGCATCACCTCCAGCACCACCCGCCCCTCTCRGGAGCTGCTGCCAGTCGGAATCCGCCTGGAAACTCCAGGAATCCTCCACAGCACCAGCCAGTCTGTGAAGTTCAGCTTTCCCACATCAGAAGCCTCCAGTGACATCTCCTCTGTCCTGCCTGCTGGAAGGTGACATTCACACATTCCTGCTCACCCATCYGACACTCTCTGCTCCTGCCTGGATCAGGATTCCCACACCTGGAGCAGAACCAAATCAGGACAGGACTGTGGGACCCCRCATTCAATGGGCGATGCCACCCCCRCCACAGTCAGTCCTTGRTATCCAGRAGGATTTTTCCAGCATTCYTGCTGCCAGAAGCCAAGTCCATGTCCGAGGGCGCCGGTTCAGAGCCCCCGACGCTCCCCCGGGAGCAGAGGTTTTATAATTCCATCAAATATTGATGCAGCAGCATTACACAGCAGAGCCTGGAACCTCTGAGCAGAACATCCATCCCCAGCAGGGGCATTGGAGCATCCCAGATCGAGGAGGGTCCAGGTGGGGTCGGAGCATCGTCACAGAATCCGTGTCCCATCCTGGTCACCGGCCTTTCCAGAGCCCAGGAATGACCAGCTGGTGCCAGCCATGCTGTGAGCACACGGATGGACAGGAAGATGCCAGCATGGAGGGGAGCCCAGCCATCCCTCATTCCTGATGGAGAGAGCAGCTGGAACATCCCAGAGCATCCCTTTGTCGAGGATCCCGGGGGTCTTGGAGCTCCAGCTTCTGCTGGTCTGCACATGGGATCACATGGAGGGGACCAAAGTTCTGGAAGAGGCTCAAAGCAGGATTATTCCCTGTCATTCCACATGGCTTTAGGGACAGTTACCAGGAAGCTTCTCCCTGTCTTTAGGGTTCAGTGTGGTCGGAGTCGGGATGTGAGTTGGTGTCTTCCACTCCATGACCAGGACAAGGCTTGTTGTCCCTCAGGAAGGACTTGGTGTCCCCCAGTTCAGAGCTTGGTGTCCCCCAGTTCAGGAATCAGTGTCCCCCATCCCATAGCTCAGGACAAGGCTCAGTGTCCCCCAGGGAAGGATTTGGTGTCCCCCAGGACAGGACTGGGTTGTCTCTGGTGGCATTTCCCCGTGTCCAAGGACTTGGTGGTCRGTGTGAGACACCTCTGCCCCACTGCTGAGTCCCCCCACGTGTGTGGCAGGGAGTGGGGGCATCTCCACCTGTGGAATCCCCAAAGAAGGGGTTTTCCAAGTGTTTCCCAGCTTTTTGTTGCTGCTCCATGTCGTTTAGCTGGACTTCAGAAAGGTGCCAGAGAGCTTCTGAAGGGCGTCCCGAGCCAGMTGTGACTTCAGCTGAGGCTCTGGAACTTTTCCTGTTGTCATTCCATTTTCCTGGCAAATTTGGTCATGCAGGAGATGTTGAGGAAGACGGGAGTGTCTTCCCTCGGGATTGACGTGGAGTGCAGCCTTTGGGAAAAGGCTGGAAGTGAGCAGAGCGGGGTTTAGCCGAAGTGATGCCGGAGGAGATGGAAAGTTTGGAAGTCCAAACGCATCCAGGTTTATATTAAAAAAAGGGAAACAGAGCTCCGAGGTTTGCCGAGACCTCAGGAGGCCGTGTCAGATATCGGATGGAGCTGCTGCTCCCTGATGGGCTCCATGTGCCCCATCCTGGATGTGGGATCGTGTGGCAGCGCTGTTATCCATCTGTTCTGCTCCTGGTTATTCCCAGCTGGGATTAGGTCATGGAATCAGAGATGAGGGAGGGCATGGAAGCGCTCCAAGGCTGCAGCTGGACAGATGTTCCCAATGCCCCCGCCAGGGGCTCCTGTCCATCCACTTCCCCCCAGCACCAGCCTGGCCACTCTCTCTTTTCCATCCATTAGGGATTGTTTTRAATGGGAAAAATACTAATTAATTTCATATTTGTCCTTGTTCCGARCCAGGCCCCGTGGTCTCCCYTCCCTGAGCTGCTGCTGGGAGCTGCTGCATGTGCATGGAGGGGTGTGGGAGGGTCCTGCCTCAAAATCATGGATGATTTAATTCCAGCCATGGAAGGAAAAGTTGGAAGTGTGGGATCAGCTCCATGGTGTCTCCGGGATTTCTGGTTAAACAAAGCAGAGCCCGGGTGCTCTGGGGCAGCTGGTCCAGGGTGCTCCAGGACCCTTGGAAAACCAGAGGGATGGGGAGAGGGGAAATATCATTAAGATTAAATCCCTTCTGCCTCCTGATCTGGGGGTCTCTGGGAAAGGTGTGGGAGGTCAAACCCCACCGTGCCCCGGAGCTTGGAATGCCCAGCCAACCTGAACCCAGCTTTGCCTTTGAAGATCAAAATTCCTTGGAAATACAATGTGGATCTACCCCTGGGTATCTGTGGGGTCAGGATGGGGGTTCTGGATGTGTCCCCTGTCCCCAGCTCTGTGCCCACACTGGGCTGGTGGGGCGGGGACGGGGCTTAGGGGGACCAAGGGCTGTGCTGACTCTGGCTCTGCTCCCGTGGTCCCATGGGAGCTGTGCCAGGGGATCCCATGGAAACAGTKCCAGGGGGTCCCATGGGATCTCTGCCTGTGGGTCCCACCTGGAGCAGCCCTGGGAGCGGGTTAATGAATCCCCACACTAACGACGCCATGCACGCCCGGTGCCACGGGGCACGCTAACGATGCCGGGCACACTAACGATGCCATGCTGTGTTTTGTCTCCTTTCCCTGCTCTGCCGCTCCGGCCACCGCCGGCTGTTCTCTGCTCCTCTGTCCCTGTGTGACTGTCTGTCCTCTCTGCTTCCGCTCCCGCTGCCCTCCAGAGCACCGCCCGCCGGCCCAAGGTGAGCAGCCATGGTGGGGCACTGAGCGTGGGGGGCACCGGGCACTGATGGCCCTGTGGGTGCCAATGCCACTCAGAGCATTGGGTGCCACCAACCCCCTCACAAACACAGGTCACTGGGTGCCAACCCCACTCAAACACGACCCTTTGGGTGCCAACCCCACTCAAACACAACCCTTTGAGTGCCAACCCCACTCGAACATGATCCATTGGGTGCCAACTCCACTCAAACCCGACCCTTTGGGTGCCAACCCCACTCAAACACGATCCATTGGGTGCCAGCCCAATCAGGAGCACAGCCCATTGAGTGTGTGTCCCACTCAAACACAACCCAGTGGGTGCCAACCCCACTCAAACCCAATCCATTCAATGCCAATCCCACTCGAACATGATCCATTCATTGCCAACCCCACCCAAACACGATGCATTCATTGCCAATCCCAGTCAAAGATGATTCTTTGGGTACCAATCCTACCCAAACACGATCCATTCATTGCCAACCCCACTCAAACACAGCCCACTGGGTGCCAACACCATCTCAAACATGGCTCATTAGGTACCAACCCCATTCAAACATGACTKGTTGGATGCCAAYCCCACCCAAAYATGATCCATTCATTGCCAAYCCCACTCAAAACATGAACCACTGGTTGCCAACCCCACTCAAACACGAGCCATTCATTGYCAGCCCCACTCAGAATATGGTCCAGTGGGTCCCARMCCCAYYCAAACAYRATCCAWTGGTTCCCAACYYCACCATGCATTCTTCTTGTCCTTCCACCTCAYTGTGCAGAGCCCAGAGGAGCTCATGAGGGTGATGGGCTCCTCTGGAGCAGATCCAGAGATCCCTGGGGACCCTTTCCTGGGGTGGAATGGCTGTGGCAGAGCATGAAATCCGCATGGCAGTGCCCAGGCCCTGCTCCCTGACGGTCCCGGCTTGTGCCGGGTGTTGCAGYGGGATCTGAGTGGGATCAGAGAGATCCTGAGGTGCCAGGCAGGGCTGTGTGGTCCCAGCTGGCCCTGGGAGCTGCTCCAGCCAGTGGGATCCACCTTGGGAAGGGGCTTGTGGCTGGAGGAGAGGAAACATGAGAGAGAAATCCTGAAAAATTGAGTTTGGAAATGGAGAATTCTCCTGGGGCTGCAGTAAGGGCTCTATCCTCACTGGATGCTTCCAGGACATTGCCCCAGGCAGAGGTGGATTCTGTCAGCCCCAGGACACTGGAATCCCATCCCATTCTTTTGGTTTTAATGCTCCTTGTTCCTGTCTCTGCTGGGATGTCCTGTGGGACCTCCTGCTCCCTTGGGCTCACACCTCCATCAGGCAGGGCTGGAGGCAGGATGCTGGAATCATGGAATGGGTTGGGTTGGAAGGGACCTAAAGCCCATCCAGTTCCACCCAAGAGCACCTCCCACTGTCCCAGAGTGCTCCAAGCCCCATCCAGCCTGGCCTTGGGCATTCCCAGGGATCCAGGAGCAGCCACAGCTGCTCTGGGCACCCTGTGCCAGGCCTCCCCACCCTCATGGGAAGAATTCCTTCCCAATATCCCTCCTAAYCCTGCACTCTGTGAGGGATTTGTGACCCCTAAAGCAGTAGGAACAACGAACATCCTTGTTTTGAGCTGTATCTGGGAAAAGGCGTGTGGGGCTCGGTGCCACTGAGATGTTCCCTGTTCTCTGTGCCCAGGAGAGCTGGGATCATCCTGGGAGAGCTGGAATTATCCCAGGAGGGCAGGCTGGGCCTGTCCAAAGAGTGCTGGACTTGCTGCAGTTGAGTTAACTCAGATTTGCCTCTTTTTTGGCAAAATAAAGGCATAGGGTGGATGCTGTTCCTGCCTGGCTGTGCCCGTGGATGAACCCACACACCTGGTGAGCCCTCATGGCACCAAAAATCCCATTTCCAGGAATAAAATCAAGTCAGGAAATTTAATTTACACAGTCAGAGGTGAGGAGACTGGTGGGAGCCTGGGGGCTTTTTCCCATCACTTGGGCTCAGCCAGTGATTATTTAATAGTTATGGCTGCTCCAGGCCCCACTGGTACTCCCTCGACTCTGGGAATCCACTCCATGTTAATTTTCCCTTTATTCCCCTAAAACTGGCTTCCCATCTCTGTGGTCTCCAAGGTTTTGCTGTCTCACACTCTGGAGCTGGGACCTCAAATCCCAGAATGAYGGAATRGTTTGGGTTGGGAGGGACCTTGGAGATCGTCCAGTGCCACCCCCTGCCACGGRCAGGGACACTTTCCACTGTCCCAAGGTACTCCAAGCCCTGTCTAACCTGGCCTGAGACACTTCCAGRGATGGGGCAGCTTCCCTGGATTCYTTCCCCRGTGRATTATCCATGACTTCTGCCCAAACAGAATTCCTGGGGTTCCCACAGCGGCACTYACAAGTCAGGGTGTCCCCGCTGCCACCACACTCTGGGTTTCCCCAGCTGGAAACGGGACTCTGGGAACCACCTGGAGCTGGGATGGGAATGATCCCCCCCTCACCCGTGCCGGTGTCTTGCAGCCCACCCGGACCCCCACGTCGGCGCCGTCCAGCGGCACGGCCGGGCCCTCGGGATCGGCCTCGGCGTCCGGCGGGGAGATGAGCAGCAGCGAGCCYGGCACGCCCGCCCAGACCCCGCTGGTGGCTCCCGTCATCCCCACGCCCTCCCTGGGCTCCCCGGGGGCACCCCCGGTGCCCTCGCCCACCAAGGTGAGTGTGCCCAGGTGAGAGATGGGCTCTGCCGGTGCTTCCAAGATGGGAGGAGAGAGAATCTGCTCCCAGCACTGGGAGAAGGAGGAGGAGGAGGAAACAGGGAGGAAGAGGTGCCCTGGAGGGTCATGGAGGAGTTTGGGCACCAGGTACAGGAGGAGCAGTGGGACAGAGCAGAGCACAGCTGGGAGAAGACATCCAAAGACCCCTTGCCAGGTCACTATGGGATGTAGGTGGCAACTGAGCAGGTTGGCAGGTGGGGGTTGAGGCTCTGAGTTGGATCCTACAAAATCCAGAGGGTCCAGTTGGCAACACCCACTGGTGCTGGGAGAACTGGGATGGAGGGACCAGCAGGTTAAACCTGGAGATGTTCCTGCCTTGGGATCAAAGCTCACCTGGAGAGGTCCAATATTTCCCAAATTTGGGAGAACTGGGGTGGATAAACCTTGGGGACATCATTGCCTTGGGATGCAAAGCCTACCTGGAGAAGTCCAATATTTCCCAAACTTGGGAGAACTGGGATGGAGGGACCAGCAGGGATAAACCTCGGGGACATTCCTGCCTTGGGATCAAAGCTCACCTGGAGAGGTCCAATATTTCCCAGACTCAAGGGTTTCTAATCATCACAGAGTTATTCCTGTTTTTATATTTAAAATGCTTTTTCATTCTGCTTTGATTAAGGAGTTAATTAGAGTTTGGGAGAGATTTGGGGCACGAGGCCAGGGAGGGAATAGCAGGAGAGGACAAAGCTCTGGGATTGTGTGTAGGAGAGCTGAAGAAGGCACCTGGGGTGGAAATAGGGGGTGTCCCCAGTTCCCAGAGCTCTCTGATAACTGGTTTCTGTAACTGGGTGCAGAAAAGGTTGATTTGAAGGTGCCAGTGGCATCAGAATGTCCAGGCTAGTAAAGCAGGATAGGAGGAATCCATTAGGAGGTTCCTGCACTGGGTAGGATTTTTCCAAGACCTGTTCCTTGCTGTCAKCCTGCTTTGGGATTTGATGCTTTAGCTAAAGCTGCCAGGGAGGGGAGTGACATCCCCTTGTCCCCACAGTCCTTCACCCAGGAATGCTGGTGTCAGCTTTTCCCTGCCCCGGGAGCTGAGCTGCCGGAAAAGGACCTGGATCTGTTTTCCCTGGGGACAGATCACCTGGGAATGATGTGGATGCTGCAGTGGGATCAGGCAGCCTGTGCCAGCCTGTGCCAGCCTGTCTCCACCCTCACAGGCAGAATTCCTTCCCAATATCCCATCAAACCCTGCCCTCATTCAGTGGGAAGCCATTCCCTGTGTCCTGTCCCTCCAGGCCCTTGTCCAAAGTCCCTCTCTTCTCAAACTGCCCCAGTACCGATGACACAGGTCAGGCCAGGTTCTGTGGCTTCCAGGAGCATCCCTGGAGCTCTCTCCCTGCTCCTTCCCTAATTCTTGGCTTGGTGTTGCAGGAGGAGGARAATCTCCGTGCCCAGGTCCGGGACCTTGAGGAGAAGCTGGAGACACTGAAAATCAAGCGGAATGAGGACAAGGCCAAGCTCAAGGAGCTGGAGAAGTACAAGATCCAGCTGGAGCAGGTGCAGGAATGGAAGAGCAAAATGCAGGAGCAGCAGGCCGACCTGCAGAAACGCCTGAAGGAGGCCAAGAAGGTCAGTGAGCGTCCCTGGGAATGGGGCAGTGCCTGGAGAGGTGACTCTGGGGGGAGTTCCTGGGARGAAATTTTCCCAGTATCCAACTAAACCTCCGCTGGTGGAACTTGAGATCTTTCTTCTGCTCTTAATTGGCATCAAGTGCATTTGGGAATCAGGCTGAGCCAGGGTGGAGCACTACTTTCCTTATTCCCTTTCTCTCCAAGTGCTTCCCTCTTCCTTCTTTTTCCAGGGGCTTCCCTCTCTCTCCAGGTGCTTCCTTCTTCTCTCTTTCCAAATGCTTCCCTCACCCTTCTGTCTCTCCAGGTGCTTCTCTCTCCCCTTTTCCCTCTCACTTTCCAGGTGCTTCCTTTTTCCTCTCTCTTTCCAGGTGCTTCCTTCTTCCCCCTCTCTCTCAAGGTGCTTCCCTCTTTTTTCTTCCCTCTCTCTCTCCAGGTGTTTCTCTTCCCTCCTTCCCTCCCTCCCAGGTGCTTCCCTTTTCCCCTCCCTTGCCTGCACCTCCCAGGATTCCCTCCAAGCAGCWTTTCCTTCTCCCTGCCCTCCTTTTCCAGGGTGGATTCCTGGTTTCTTTCCCCAGGGATTTCTCTGTCTGCTGCAGTATTCCCTGTCTCCATACCTTTCTCGTCACCTGCAGATGGTTTTCCTGCCAGGCTCTCTGTGGATCAGGGAGCAGAGAAAAGGGGAGGGGGACATCCCGGAGTGCTGCCCACGGGCCCATTCCCATTCCAGATAAATTGCTGGATTTGATTTGGGAGAGMCTTGAGGGACAATAATCACCTGAGGGCCATTGTGGGGTCTCTCCAGAGTTCTGGGGTTTCCTCAYCCACAGGAAGCCAAGGATGCCCTGGAAGCCAAGGAAAGGTACATGGAGGAGATGGCAGACACAGCTGATGCCATCGAGATGGCCACGCTGGACAAGGAGATGGCYGAGGAGCGGGCAGAGTCCCTGCAGCAGGAGGTGGATTCCCTCAAGGAGAAGGTGGAATATCTCACCATGGACCTGGAGATCCTCAAGCACGAGATYGAGGAGAAAGGTGGGAAGGGAGAGGGACTTTGGGCTTGGAGAATGGGGAATGGCTTGGGGAAGGAATTCTTCCCTGTGASRGTGGRGASGCKCTGGGATGGATTTTTCCAGGGAAGSTGTGGCTGCYCCATCCCTGGAAGTGTTCAAAGCCAGGTTGGAGCAACCTGGCATARTGGAAGATGTCCCTGTCCACAGAAATGGGTGGGATTTAAGGTCYSTTCCCACCCAAACCAGTCTGGGATTTTGGGATTCTGATTCTTTCCTTCTGGGATTCTGATTCTTCCCTTTTTCCACAGGCTCTGATGGAGCAGCATCCAGCTACCAGGTCAAACAGCTGGAAGAGCAGAACGCCAGGCTCAAGGAGGCTCTTGTCAGGTGGGAGCAACCCTGGGCTTCCCAAAATTCCTTCCCAGGCTCCCTTGTGCTCCCTCGTGATCCTGTCCTTCTCTGGAGCAGCCCATGTGATTCCTGCTGATGGGTCTTGGATCTTTGCTGAGCCCTTACAGCATCCACAGGGAGGGGACAGTCCCTTGTCACRGGGAATCACTGGGGATTGGGACAAATGAGCCACTCCAGACTGTTCCATGCTTAATCCCCTGTGGATGTGGTGCTGGTTATCCTGCCCAGCCCCGGGATCTGCCTTTCCGTGGGTGATCCCTCCTGCCAGGCCTTGGGGCTCGATTTTCCTTTGAAAATCCACARCCAGTGAATTCAGGTGTGACACATCCCTCACTGTTAATGAGCTGAATTTTGGGAATGTTGCTCAKGTCCCCATCAAGGAGGGGCTGATGAAGGCTCTGGAGGAGCTCCATTATCCCTGCTGGAGCGGGCAGAGGGTCTTGGCTCTGCTGGTGCCCCCCAGGAGCAGCACCCAGGGAGGGGACARGCACTCCTGGGCTGGCCCTGATAGGATCTGTCACTGTCCCAGGATGCGGGATTTGTCTGCCTCCGAGAAGCAGGAGCACGTGAAGCTCCAGAAGCAGATGGAGAAGAAGAACACGGAGCTGGAATCGCTGCGGCAGCAGCGGGAGAAGCTGCAGGAGGAGGTGAAGCAGGCGGAGAAGACGGTGGATGAGCTCAAGGAGCAGGTGAGGGASAGGTGGGACAGGATRTTTGGGACAGGTGGGACCAGAATGGGGTGAGGGATTCCTCAACCACATCCCACAGCTTGGCAGAGGGATCCCATGGTGGTCTGAGAGGATTTGGGAGCTGCTGGCCGTGGTGCTGAGCTCCAGGTTGCAGGGAGATGTGTGTCCTGGCAGGTGAATGGAGTGAGATGTCCTGGTAGGTGGATGGATTGGGATGTGTGTCCTGGATTAGGATGTGTGTCCTGCATTAGGATGTGTGTCCTGGCACAGGATGGATTGGGATGTGTGTCCTGGATTGGGATGTGTGTCCTGCACTGGGATGTGTGTCCTGGCACAGGATGGATTGGGATGTGTGTCCTGGCACAGGATGGATTGGGATGTGTGTCATACATTGGGATGTGTGTCCTGCATTGGGATGTGTGTCCTGGCACAGGGATGGATTGGGACGTGTGTCCTGCATTGGGACGTGTGTCCTGCATTGGGATGAGTGTCCTGCATTGGGATGTGTGTCCTGGCACAGGATGGATTGGGATGTGTGTCCTGGCGCACGGATATGTGTCCTGGTGTCCTGGATTGGGATGTGTGTCCTGGACTGGGATGTGTGTCCTGGATTGGGATGTGTGTCCTGGCAGGTGGATGGATTGGGATGTGTGCCCTGGGTTGGGATGTGTGTCCTGGCACACAGATACATTGGGATGTGTGTCCTGGCACAGGATGGATTGGGATGTGTGTCCTGGATTGGGTTGTGTGTCCTGGATTGGGATGTGTGTCCTGGATTGGGATGTGTGTCCTGGCACAGGATGGATTGGGATGTGTGTCCTGGCAGGTGGATGGATTAGGATGTGTGCCCTGGGTTGGGAGGTGTGTCCTGCATTGGGATGTGTGTCCTGGACCAGAGATACATTGGGATGTGTGCCCTGGGTTGGGATGTGTGTCCTGCATTGGGATGTGTGTCCTGGCACACGGATACATTGGGATGTGTGTCCTGGCACACAAATATATTGGGATGTGTGTCCTTGCAGGTGGATGCAGCGTTGGGTGCTGAGGAGATGGTGGAGACTCTGACAGAGAGAAACCTGGATCTGGAGGAGAAGGTCCGGGAGCTGCGGGAGACCGTCGGGGACCTGGTAAGGCAGAATTCCCTGGCATCAGGGCTGCTCTAGGGGGTTGGGACAAGGGGCTGGAGTGATGGAGCTGCCTCAGCAGCGGAATCAGAGAGAAGCTGCCCACAGGGCTGGGACGTGTCTGACCACACCATGTGACCGTGTCCCGCAGGAAGCCATGAACGAGATGAACGACGAGCTGCAGGAGAACGCTCGGGAGACGGAGCTGGAGCTGCGGGAGCAGCTGGACATGGCCACGGCGCGCGTGCGAGAGGCCGAGAAGCGCGTGGAGGCGGCGCAGGAAACCGTGGCTGACTACCAGCAGACCATCAAAAAATACCGGGAGCTCACGGCTCACCTGCAGGTGCGGCCCCTCGGGACTCACTGGTTCCTCCTGGAGCTCACCTGGTGGCCAGGTGACCCGTGGGAATGTCCCCAGGGGGTGTCCCTGGGCTTTGCTGTGGGATCTGGGCGAAGCAGGACATGGCTGGTGGCTGAGTGGGTTTTCCTCATGGAGCTTCCCCACAGACCCCCTCCCACAGACAGGCTGGGAGAGCTGGGATTGTCCAGCCTGGAGAAGGGAAAGCTCCAGGGAGACCTTAGAGC